ATAAAATCTTGTTGGATACCAATTAATTAAATACAGAAAATACCTATTCAATTATTTTCACAATAACAACTTATCACAATGATCAAAGAAAATAAGTAATGAATTCGCCCGCAAAAATCTACCATTTGCAACAATTGATCGCGAAAATTGCAATTTCGCCACACAATGCGAGGGAAAAAGAAGAAAAAGGAAAAAAAAAGAAATTCGTATTCGAATAAATACCACGTACGCGTATGCAAATAATTATTTTTGTGCTCCGATGCAAAAAAAAAAAAACCCTCGCCGTGTAGCAATTAATTGATCGCGAAAATGCGATACACAAGTTGCAATTGCTCTCCCGCAATAACAAGTTGGCGCGATATCGAGGAAAATAAGAAATTCGCTCGAATAAATACTGGAACGTTATCAAAATCTAGGAATGAAATTAAACGGTCCATAAATCCCATAAGTCAGTGTTGGAAACGATCACGCAATCCACGGAGTTAAAGCGCGTTAATCACAGCCCATTAAAATAACCCCGTGGCGGCTTCGATCCTCTTACCTCTTGCCACGTAACCGATCGCATGTCGATGCAAAGTGCGCACGCTTGTCTTCCAGTTTGACCTACTGCTGTTTTATCGGCCGCGTTGATTGTGTAGTAGAATTCGCGGGAAAAGCGAAAGGTTTAAATCTCGTGGAAAAGGAAAATCGGATGATCTTATTACCGCGTAAAAGAAGCAAACTCTGCCGATGTTGGTGGCGCGTGCCATCGAGGCGAAAGTCAAACGAGGAGACGAAACTTAGTACTTGTTGCGCTAACTGGCTACGATCGTTTCTTAAATCCGCGCAGGAACGATAGATTAATTTTAATCGAGTTTGCTATACTCTACGTGGCTGGCTGAAAAGAGACGCCATGTTTCTGTGTTCCAGAAAGTATCAGTCACGAAATTGTCGTTTCTTTTTTTTTGGAATCGTTTTTGAAGATTTGATCGCCGATTTTTCAATTGTTTCAATTATTTTTAATGAAAGATTTTTATCTGGAAGTATAGAAAAATGGAAAAATTTAGAGAAAAATTATTGTTCACAAGTCTTTATAAGATTTCTCGATCATTGTCCAATGTGCATAATTGGAAAAACAGTTGAAAAATGTTAGAAATAATCTTAAATGAGATTCGATCCTTTTATGAGTAATTCAATCAAGAATTTTTTATTTTATGCAAACATATGATTATCACGGTAATACGATATCTTTGTATATGGTATTTCATGGTCATAATAGTTAACTACAGTTGTACAAGTGAAATCAGAACTACATTGCACGTAATATGATATATAATTTCTTCTCTTTCAAGGTTCTTTATTGATGTTACAAGATTGGATTCTTTCAAATGTAACTTAGAAGTATTGCATTCTCGAACCCTACAAGTATCTGGATTTCGAAATTAGCTTGTATAATCCTTTCATAATTTTAAAAACTATCTCTCCCCTGAATAATAATCAAATTCTTTGAAGCACATTTTCTATATTTAAGATTAAACCAGCGCATACATCGAAAAATAAATACGGTCGATGTTAATTAAGATTATCGTTATCGTACCAGATTAACTCTTAATATTCTCTTTATTTAAAATATCCAACATTTCCAAACGTACACGCAAATTAAAGTTTTTATCATTTTCTTTGAGAAAAGAGTTTTTGTCAAGAAAAAAAAAAAATAAAATCTCCCTACAAAGCACAGAGAGAGCCTTTTTCAACTTTACTCGAAACTTGACGCATGTGTAATTTAAAAAAAGATTCCGATATTCATAAAACCGAAAATGCTAAGACAGAACGTTCTAATCAAATACGAAATTGTCTAATTTCTCAGGATTTGCATGGGGCACAGTTAACGATAAATCGATGTAGCGCGTGTAAAGCCTCAAATTCGACACGGTACGCGTTTAAATAGAAATGCGAAAGAGCAATTTCCCCAGGAGAACAGATTTCAGGGTGGCGTGAGCACGATTTGCCAACATTTCGCCCGCAAATGCAAGAACAAGGTGCACACGGAGCGCTTATCATTGAGACACGTATAATTTTCTTAGAGCGCAGACGTGCTCCCGATAAACCCCGCGACGGAATAATTTCTAACTGTACGGACCTTATTCCATCGTATAATGCTCGCAGATTGTCCGAGTAACAAGCATTAATCGTGGGGAACCGGTACAACGAACGGTGCTTCGAATTTTTATCGTGGAGCAGAGAGCAAAAAGGGGATAGATCTCGTACAACTTGCCCAACGAATGGAAAATTTTCTATTATCCGTGTATTAATGGGGAAATGGAAATTGTACTCGATGAGCGATTAAACGAGATTGCATTTTTTAATAGTTTACGTTTTACAATTGACGAGAGTTCGATTTTCATTTTCAAATTTCTCTATTTTGTACATCTTACGAGAGAGATAAAAATAAAAATTGGGGTAAACAATGTTGCATAAAGTATTTTTAATATCGTTTTGGAATATCGAGGAGGAGTTTAATTTTTATCGTACTTTGTAGAACAGCGAGTAAAAGGGGAGGGGAATTCTTGCAGAGATTATTTGATGCAAAGAATTTTCCACTTCTGTACGAAAGGAAGGGGTAAAAAGGATTTTATGCGAAATATTTTAATATCGTTCTACAATTGATGAGAAATTAATTTTCGTTTACATGGCATACATATCCCTTTGTATGGTAAAGATCTCTTTAACTTGTGAGATACAATTACATTGAAAATATGCGTAAACGACATCGTGATCGAATCGTTCATCTTCAAAAAAAGACATTGACTTTGTAAGAAGAAATACAGAATTGTAGCAAATAAGCATATTAATAACGTTTTCTTTTGTCGTCTTTTTTAACTTTGCTCTGAAAAAAAAAATGAAAAATTAATCTGATAATAAAGGAAATATTGAAAATATCCACGGATGATCGTGATCGAATCGTTCATCTTCGAAAGGACATTTCTCTGTTTTGAAGCTCTGTAGGAGGAAATAAGGAGTTGCAGTTGTTAATTATAGTTATTATATTACGTCGTTTAAGTTTTACACGACGTTAAAGCTTGGTGTTTCTAGCTTTGTCATAACGCTCATGATTCTTCCTTTACACTTTTATTCGACACAGTAGTGACTGAAATAGTAACGTAGATTTATATCTGATGCTTTATTCTTTTTGAATGCTTTTATTCTTTTAAGACGCTTTGCACGTAACGCATTCGAAAATATTGCAAAGTTTTTATTATATTAATTAAAATGCCACAAAGAATTTCGAATATTATTCGATAACATCTTTTCTTAGTTTTCATCTTTTATATTTCTTTATATTACTTGCAAAAATATTATGGCAGATATATTTAGTTTATAATATACTTATATAAAATAGAAAATATGAATCTTTTGCATTTAAACTTGCATCGTCTGCAATATCGAAATATAATTTTTGAAACGCAATAAAAATTTCGTGTGCAAATCTTTTTAAATGGAAAACGCAAAAGAAAAAATTCGACTTTTAAAGGAATCGTAGGAAACCCACGATAAAAATCTTTTATATTTTCTTGAATATATTCTATATACTTTCTATCTTCTTTCTTTTAAATGTATAAAATAATTTTAAAAGCAAACTATTACGAGAGAAAAAATTTTTTTTCAGTTTTTCTAAAAATCACCAGTATCTTTTTAATTATTAATAAACTCGACAGCAACTGATTCATAATCAATGATACAATTTCCAAGGCTAATTTGAACTTACTTAATTTCTATCAAATTATAAAACGATATATTGTTATATGTAGAAATAAAAAGAATGAAATGAAAATCAATAAAAAAAAAAAAAAAAAAGGTTCTTCGAACAAACGATACGAAAAAAGTTTCTTAATTTACCTTTTTACTGATACGCGACAAAATTTCCTTTCAACTCATCGTATATAAAATAAAATTACAGCGTGATTAAAAATCCAGCCACTGCACGGCGACAAAAGTCGTAAACAGTGACAGTGAAACGGATCCTCGTATCGAGCATCGGGATCAGTAAAAGCGCATACTGTCTTTTTCCCTCCTCCTTCCTCCGTCACGACTATTTACATTTTGTTGCAAACCGCTTTAACCCTTTCACCGTCACCTATACTAACGCTTGCCGCATAACGCCTCTCTCTATCTTTGCCACATTGTTTAACAGCCTAGTCCTGCCCACATCGCGTGCTACTCGTTCCACCATTGAGCAGCCACCAAGAAGTTATGCACTCAATGGCAAATACCACAACGGAGTTACGAAATCATTTTGGCCTCCTTTTTAACAGCCAATACGATACGTGTCCAAACGAATCTTCCATGTCACTAACTGTTCACGAGACACAAATATGCAGTATAATTAATAATATTTTCGATCGATTCATGCCTGTGTATACGTTTGATGAGATGCTTTCCTTTTTTTTTTTTTTTCAAAAAGCATCGTTTGAAGTAGCATTCAAGTAAAGTTCATTCTTTCTTTTCATTTCAGTCTTATAAGCGATACATATTGGCGTGGACTTGTTAAATAACAATGGTTTCGGTGATTAATATTAATCAATTATTACTTACGCACTTTTGCTAATTTTTTAACTTAATAATTATCTGCCAACGTAATCATTTAAATGGAATTTGAAAAATGAAAGGAAATTCTCCGGTATTAAGTGAATGTGACGTAAATGAGAAAAGTTGGCAGTTAATGCGGAATAATGTTGCAGAAGTCGATGCAAATCGAAGTTCCCCCCATCACCATCAGTTTCAATCGAATCACATGATCACACGACTTAGATTTACATACGTCTCTCTGGCATTTATGGTATTTTTCAGTCGCATGCAAAATCGGCTCAAAACATGGTCAACTATTGAAAACAGAGATTCAACATTGTATACGATCATTTACTTTAACGCTCGGAATATCATCTCTTACTTTTTTTTTTTTCCTTTAAAACTCGACTTACCATCTGTGCCCCCGTCATCAAATCAGTGAAATGTTGCTTCAGAGATGGCGAAGCCCGTGCAACCAGCGGTTCTGCCCGAAAACGGGCGAGGCGAGCTGCCCGATGAACGGGACAATGAAATCGTCATCGAGCTGGATCGAGAAAATCAGTACGGTCGTACGCAGCCACGAGCTAACGAGCCTCAAGGTAATCATTTGCGCAATATCCAGATGGTCCACCCACATCTCATGTCACGACACATTTTTTTCCCTCGTTTCTTTTGTTCATTAGTCTCTCGATCACACACGTTCCATTTCCCCACCCACGCTTTCAATCATCCGATAGGGTGTATACAGGGTATCCAAGTTTTTCCTCGCCAAACTTTCTTTCACGTGTGTTCTATGGCTATAAATGAGATAAAAAAAATTGTTGTATAAACGTTGTTGTTGTAGATCGTTTGAAGCGTTATTAAAAAGTTATAATGAACGTCCCCCGGTATCGTTAGATCTGACGTAGTAACGGAATTTGTTGTTGTACAACGTTCCTTCGAGAGGATGATGTATAACATAACGGGTATCTGAACGACGAGTAATATCGCGATAGGAAAAGTTGGTGATCGATTAAGATGGAATAAAATTGCGTGGAAAGAGTTATGATACTCTGAATTTGTTATTTCTTTCAGATATTAAAAATAGAAACTGTGAATATAAATTTTATTTGCTTGATTACAAACGTGTTATAAACGTGTATTATTTATTTTCCTTGTATCGTAATACGACTGTAATAGGAAGATCGTACACAGTTACGATCTTTTAACGAAAAGCTCTCCAAACGATCTACGATTTTCTCTTATTTATATACCATTGTTAAGACGATACGAGTCGATCGATCAGGAAACGTGAAAACTACCCTGTATACCACCAAGCTCAACCACAATCACAATTTCCATTCTGTACGAACAGTTAGAGCTGGTTCGATCATTCGTCACACTGTTTGCGGCTCTCCTCGTCTATATGTATCTGTTTCACGTATACAGTGTGTCCTAACTTTGTGCACCGTACTCACCCTGTTGTCTGTAACTAGTTGCACCGACCAGCCTGCCACCTGGTTTTATTAAGATGTACAGCCAAATAGAGGGAAAGAAAAAACACAATGTGTGAAAAGAGTCTGAGGAGAACGGGACTCGAACCATGAAATTGCGCTTCTGGCCGAGGAGGGAATTGCTACGCCGGCTGTGCTGCAACGCCCTCCGGCTGGCGATCCAGTTTCGTGATTCGATTTCTTCGTGTCGAACGTAACGGTGAACGTTTCGAAGAAGAAGCTGTTCGAGGCGGGAATAGGACGATCGGCTATTTACCACGTTAGATAGAATCGCGTCTTTCAAACGGCTCGGCCATTTTACGAGGGATCGTAATCAGAGAGATCGTTCTACGTGCTTTGACGTCGTCAAAAGCGAAATTTACGGATATTATCCTGATATGCAATATGATCGAGTCGCTAATCGTGCGCTAATTGCGTGATTTTCGTCGATGAGCTGATAAAGGGATGAAGGCGATCGCTTCTTCGTTGCCTAGTTCATGCGAGATAATGAGGGATCGAAAGGCTTGTTCGTGTCGAGCGTTCTATGGGAGATTTGTAACTGCTGGTATAATCAGAGGAGAAGAGATGGATCTGTGGAACAGAATAGAACCGGTACGAGGCTTCGTTCGCGAAGGAGTGATTTTCGAACATTGATCCGAACTTGGAAAACAAAACTGCAAAAGAAAGAATATTTTTCGTTTTTCACTTATGATTTTATGATTAAAAGAATATATATATATATATTCAAAACGATATTGTTTTTTGCAAGATTAACTTAATCTTATAATTCGAACAAAATTTTATTCATACATGCATACATACCCCGAAACGAAGCCGCGCACAGAAACTTCATATTTCAAATTCTCGTCTCATCGCCTCCAGAATCCAATCAGTGCCATCAGTTACAAAAAGAAAAGCTCGTACAACCTCGCACAAGCTCGTACAATCGCGTCCCTCTCTCCGTTTCCTCTTTCTTTCCTCTCCCCTCCACCATTTCCTCGAAGAAGAATCCCGTGATCGCCAAGACGAAGCAAGAAGCAATACGCCACACCCTGTCTCCCCCCGATCACTGATTCGACTTTTATTGCAGACGTGATCGCGACACCGGTGGTGTACTCCGCCCAGACTCTGACCGGTGCCCTGATAGGGACCTGCTTCTTCTCGCTGGTAGCCGGCTTCGCTTCCGGTTTCTGGTTCTCCCAGAGGCTACGGGGCGCGCCTTATCCGGAGCCGTCGGAGCAGCGGCAACAGTTGAACCGGTTGACGGAGAGCTCCGAGTCGCCGGGGTTCAACAACAAGTCCATCAACCTGGTGCTGAACGTGCCGCCCAAAAACCCGAACGGCAAGAACGCGAACTCGTCGGCGGAGAACAAGCCGGTGCAGAAGGTGAAGAAGACGTACATATGATATAGAAGACGACACAGGGCCGTCTGAGGCTTGCCGCAGGACCCAACGGGTTCCGGCTCTTCTTCCTCCTCCTCTTCCTCCTCGGACCTCGCGGAATCAGACGATCGCAACGACGACGACGACGACGACGACGAGCCGAACAACGTTGACGACGTTGAGGACAATCGAGTGCCGAGCGCCGGTCGCGCGGTTGACCAGCTGGCAGGGCACGAGGAGGACGCTTACGAGAGCGTGGCCAGCGAGGGGAGGTCGCTCGAGTTCCTCGCCGCGCCCAGGGAGGCGGCCACCTACGATTCGCGGTCGATGGTGGTCGATTACGGCAGAAGGGGGTACGTCGATCACCAGTTTCCTAGCGGCGGGGAGTACACCGAGACGGCGTTGATGGAGCCGTCGGTGAACGGGCTTCAAGATTACAGCAGCAGCAGCGCGAACAGCCTCGACGATCTTTGCCGCGGGCATCGCCACCGCGCCCTCGACGAGTTCAATCGGGGAGACGAGTCGCGCGGGGATCATTACATGGTGCCCACCAGGGACCCGAGAGAGTTGAACGAGAGGATCCTTTCCCTGTTCAATCCACAGTTCCTGCCGAATTTCAACGACATGATCATGTACGTGGCGAACCAGTACGACGCAAGACGGAGCCCGCCACCTAGATCGCGCTCGATGGCGGACGGGGAGGATCGATTGTTCAGGCGGTCGAGCTGTCGGAAGAAACGCGTTGGCGCGAGTTCCATGTTCTTCCGCCGAGGGTTGACGTACGAAGCGGCGCGCAAGTGACACCTGTTGTCCCCTTTCGGATTCAAACGGAGGATACAATGTTGGGTTGGGATCGAGTGATGAAACGAGCGAGGGACGATTGGAGGGACTGTTGCCGACGAGGAAGGTGGAAGACCGACAGGCCAGACTTGAGGAGGAGGAGGAAACTGATCTGCTGGTCGATTGGTCTTTCTTTGGAGAATGGTTTTTTAGATACCTTGAGATCATCGTTCTCCTGCCTGATTGACGATCGTCCTTCCTGATATATCGAAGGGAGAACTTTGTTCCTTGCGGTGAAGCGAGCTTTCACGCAAGGGAAGACCACGATATTATTATGCATACCTAGTGTCGGCGTTACCTGAGATGTCTCGAGTAGGATGTGGTGGTACTCGAGAGGCACGGATTTCATTTTCGTTCAATACGACCGTGTGTACAGAACGACCGGTACGTGTTGCAAGGCCACGTGCTTCCGGTGTCACGTGTCGTCGTATCGTCTGATGTATGTATATGTACCGCGGGAACAGAGACACGCGTACTTTGGAACTATTTTTTTAAGATAATAATGATTCACAATTCAGGCTCTCTCCGAATGTCTTATATATATATAAGGAAGCGCGGCATCGCGTGTCGGACGCTCCAACACGACTTGAGCTAATTTTTGTACAGAATTCGAACGATTTTCGAGTTCTTCCTTTCCGTTTCTCACTAGTACGGCAATGGAGGGAAAAAAAAAAAATACATGGGAAATGAAGGGACACACGCAAAAAAAAAAAAAAAATTGATGGAGTATCAAACAAAAAGTAAACAACGACGATGGGACAAAGGATCGGACTCGTAACTGTGTAATGTGATACGATCTGGAGGAGAGTTCTGTGTTCGTAGCAGTGGCCTGCTTAGGTGCTTAGAACCGCGGTGATTTAAGGACGTAGACGAAGCGTCTTCTTGCCACATTCGGGTCCACGTTTCTCAAACTACCCTCCATGAACTTTCGCCCCTCGACCGAGGCGAATAAGGGAAATAAATTAACAAGATGAAAAGGAAACTTAACCAAACAAGATTCATTTTACGCGAGAAAAGAGGGGGGAAAAGAATCGCTTGCTATGAAACGCCTATCGAATTCGCTTTGATCCTAGAGACAATGTTGAAGATAGTTTTAACGAGAATATAATATAAAAAGTTAGGAAGTTACGAGTGTAAGGAGATGATTTTGTAAAGGGAAAAGAGGTATTTAAAAGAAAAGGGGTTGAAGTTTGAGAAACGTGATTCTCTCGTGGAGGAAGAGTTTCGAAAAGCATTCGCGGGAGACGAGGCGTGCCTTCCGTATATTAATTGTTGGCAAATTTCTGATCTATAAAAAAAAAACAGGAACGGGAGAATGCGGCCGGTATAGATTCGGGCAAGTGCCTCATTTATGCGTTTCGTTTAAAAAAAAAAATGAAATATTCGATAGAGGAAGGGAGGGGGACGACGATATGGGTGGTGAATATGAAAAAAAAAAGGGTGAGAAAGAGAGCGAGCGAGAGCGAAAGAGAGAGAAAGAGAGATTGAGAGAGATATAATAGAGACTTATGTAAGACTTATTCGAAGTATTGTTGTGCACTTATTGCCGTGCTGTGAGTATATTGGTTATTAGCAAGAGAGAATTGTAATGTTGAGGCACGAGTACGAGTTATTAAAATAGAAAAAAAAAAAGAAAAAAAAAGAAACGAAAATATGGAAGAAACATTTACCGCGTTGTAACGTCTTCGAGAAGTTATGTATTTTTGGCTGGGACGTGTTATAAATCGATTTATAACTGTTTAACGGGCGACATGTGGAGGGTGTATCTTTTTCTCTCTTTTTTTTTTCCTTCTTTTATTTTTAATCCTTAAGATAAAGTAATGCTGCGTCGCGAATGAATCGCTCGAATGCGATTATCATTTTTATTCCAATATGTAAGATAACAATTATGCAAGGTTAAGATCAATTTTAATTTTATAAATGTAAAAATGCAAGGTAATATTTTCGACATCCGAACTGATAATAATTTTTATACATTCTAAGAAAAATACGCAACAATATTTATAGTGTAAGTAGGGAAGAAATAATGTGAAAGAATTTTTAGTAATTTCGAATTCATGTTTTTACACGTATATCATGTTCGTTTTTTCATTTATAAAATATTGAAGAAAAAAAATAATATCTTAAATTTTATTTTATCTATTTACCAAAAATATTAATACAATTGACAAATGTATCTATCGAATCGTCTAAAAAAAGAAATTATTTTATCCTATTTTAATCGTGTATATATATATATATATATTATATTATACTATGCTACGCGCTATACTCTACTCTAATCAAATTTAAAGCAAAACAAAATATATCTTCGTAGAAGAGAAAATATTCGAGTAATAAAGTATTTAATATAAAAAAGAAGAAAAAAATATTTAACAAAATATAAAGGTAATAAAAGTTCGGATGGCAAAAGTCGTACCTTAAGAAAAAACTGTAATTCTAAATGAATTGTATAGTTTCAAAAAAAATTGAATCACGTGACAAACAAAAGAGGAACGATTAGAGGAACGATTTTTCAGCGAATTTCGCGGAGATCGATCAAGCAAGATAAATCAGGCAAAAAGGCGATAATTCAGGTTCGGATAAACGCATTCGCGCGATTCGCTTCAGCTGGTATGTATTCCTTAGAGCCGGTACCGCATGTTATCCGACACCTTAGCGAAAACTTGGTAGCGTGTACGACAGTTCTCCACGACAAAGTATTCTCGAGGAAAGCTCTGTTCGAAAGGGGGCTCTGTTCGAAAGAAGTAGGGAGGGGAATCTTGGCAAGATGCCTTTGACAATGGCGTAAATCGGTCTTACTTGGGTACAATAGCGAACACTGGGCGTATTTCCTTTACAGCTTAACCGCGGATCGAGTGCCTGCAAGAAGCGGCGGCTAACGTTTGTCCCAGATATCGGGCAAAAAATGAAAAGAGAACAAAGGCGGGAATATGGATCGAGAACGTGACCGTGATAACCACGAAAATAGAGCGATTCGATTTATCCAGTTCTTCTCGTCTTATTAGCGTGTAAATATAGGCGATGAGAAAACGATCGCGAGCATTAGCTTCAATCGCGCTTTGTAGATTTCAGAGAGAAGTTGGATGGATGTTTAAGAAGAAAGATTTTTAGATTGATTAGAATCTTTAGAATCGTTAGATGATTGTTGTTTAAGGAGAGAAAAAATAGGTAATAATAGCTCTTTTCATCGTCGATTCTTCAACATCGATGGGCAAACGTCCAGCCGCTCTCGTTAACCAACACTGCCGCGCCAATTCTAATATCCTTCGAAGAACGAAGAACAATAAGACGAGTTCTAAATAAAATACATCGATTTCCACTGATTGTCACTGAGCGTTCCGAGAAAGAGAACGGAAGAGGAGAGATATGAACGATGATCGGATAAAGAGGAAGCTTGACACACAAGATACATACAAAGGAGATCATAATATACGCGTTTTAAAATGATCATTAATAAAGAGACACACACACACGCATATACACACACATACATACATACACATCCTTGAATACGATTGAAGGAAGAACGTAGAGAATGGTCTGAAATGTTGCGTGGTGGAAGAATGAAGAAAGTCGTGTACATAATATTAAGTAGAAATTGTTTTTTATCGTTAAAATCATTTTAAATCAAGATCGAGAATTTCATTCGTTACGCTACTCGTCACGCGGACAGCAGTGGTACGCATTATTGGTATTTACGTATACATGTATTACACATATGTGCGCGCGCGCGTGAATGTCATACCTGTATACGTAAATAATTGCATTTTCATTATTGCATTATACATATACATATATATATATATATAGATATATACACACGCATATAATAAAATATATATATATATTTTTTTTTAATCCGCATAGATAAAAATATACTATACAAACGGAGAAAAAAAATGCGCTAAACAAGAGAGGCAGCTAATTACATACTTTTTTCGGCGGTCTTTGTGAAAGTCCGCGATCTTTTCTAATTAAAATTCCGCCGAGCAATCGCGGTGTGTTCTCGTTTAACGTTTCGCGAGGAACAATTAACAACCGAGTGTTCGGCAAAAAAAAAAAAAAATATTTTACAAATACGATGTTTATATTAT